ATGACTTCACAACAGTACAAATTGCAACGTTAAGCACCCCCTTAAGTGATGTCCATTTTAGCATCTACTGACTGACTGGCAGACAACACACTAATGTATAGTGGTGCAACTGGTTAAAATGGGTAACCTCTTCAGGCAGCCTTCAGGGGGGAATGAGTAAAAGACCCAGTACTTACATCACAATAGTCCTTGTTAAAATTATGAGAAGGACCAAAACAAGATTCTAAAAATCTTAATTAATTCCTGCAGGACAGTTTGTCCTGAACAAAAAACAAGTTAAAGTGAAATGACTAAAAGGATGAAGAGGAAGCAGGTTAGTTTTTTAAATATACATACATAGCAGTCAGCTAATTAAAAGATCACCACTTTGCAATGCAGTGAGATGGACAAAAGTGTCAAAGCAACATCAGAGCCACTTGATACAAAAAAAACAAAAACCAACAACAACAATGAGAGACCAGCAATAAAGAAATATGTTTAAAAAGATACGTGTTCCCGATTAAAATATCAAGAGAATTACATTAACTAATAATGATGCAAAGAAAAGAATGTATCAGAACAATAAAAATCATAATGTGTATGGCAGAGAACTGATAGTCGGTCAAAAAAAAAAAGTCACATGAAATACTCCCCCATCAAGAACAAAAGTAAGGGTCAAAACTTACTAAAGAAAAGAAAAGAAGGGAAATATTAATTGTTGGAATACAGAGCCAATTTGAAAAAAAAAAAAATCTGCTACCACAAATATCAGGAAGGCGAGGAGAACTAAAAATTAAGCACAGAAGTAACCTCACGTGTCACAAGCACCCTCAGGTGTAACGAAAATACGTTCAACATAAATGATAGAAAAAAAATGAGATCAGTATTAGGGCGAGCACTGTAGCTGACAAATCCAGCTCTTCAGAATCTGAAGGTGATTAATTCTGAACAAAAAATTGACCTTCATCAAAAACAGCAGAAAAAGGTGGTCATATAGGCAACTTTTTTAAGCATTTACATGACTGTGATACTTGCAAGAAATATGATTAAACATTGGCACAAATATGTTGAAATATGAGAGCTGACATAGCATCTACACATTACTGACAAATTGTGTAAGTTAGATAATTCCAACAGTGGCAGAAACAGTCGACATCAGAAGAACGTTGGGGCAAAGTAAACAACATGAGTGTTAACAAGCAAATGTATATTTTGGTGGGAAAGCAGAGCTTAATTATGATCCCCTGATCATGTAGAAGATGGTAGAATGGGGAATTACGGATAAGAGGTGCAAGTTCTGAATGTCCTTTATTCATTAGTCGCATGGTTGGGACAGCACGAGTTTATATTCAACAAAAAAATGCTTTCAGTACTTCAGAAGTAACTCTACCTGATTTGAACATAAAATACATAAACACTTAGGATAATGTGAAGTTTATCAAGGAATCACTGTTTCCTGCAAGTAATTTAGTATTTCGTTCATCCAAGATTATACATTATATCATAAGTATTACAGTAAGCAGTTTATTATTGGTTTCAAAAATGTGTTTGATGAACAAAAGTTATAAGTGAAGGTAATAAATACTGTCAGAAATTAATAATTTTTAAACACTGGTATAAAAAAAAGAAAAGAAATGAATATCTAAGATTACAGAGTTAAATAAATAGTCAAGCAATGCAATGTATTCTATAGAACAAGAGGGAATCCTCAATAGCCACAGCAACTGAAATTCTTTTAGGCAGAATTAGAGTAAATTAATCTACGAGACCTTCTCTTCCTTTTTATTAGCTATAGTTTTGGGGCACGCATATATCTGATTCAATTTCACCTCTATCAGAAATTCTTTTAGGCAGGATCAGAGTAAATTAATCTACGAGACCTCGGGCGCGGTCAAATACATTAATCGAAAGAATTTGACCTCGCGAGTCCAAAACTGTAATTAGATCTCAAATCGGGCAAGAGATGATGGAGCTACGAGCTAAAAGTCTGTACTTGAAAAACTCGGAGCCATTCTATGAGCTGCTATGCCACATCTAAAAATATTTGCAAAACCATGAGCATAGGAATAGCAACAAGAGACAACATGTGTTTACCAAACATGCAAATAATTGAAGCTATTTTTATAAATTATTTTTTTAGTTGTATATTAAGTTTCTGCACAGAATTACATTGTATTTCCTTTACACGTAAAGTCAAATAAAAATTTCTTTCTAAAATCTCAGACGATGAAACTTGAACTTTTAGAAACAATAATAGAAGTAAACCAAAATACAAGTAATGTAAACATTACGATTATTTTCTTGGTTGTTTCGGTGGAGTATGATGAGTTAGGTATATTTACTATTATTTTTTCAAAATGTTCCAATTTTTACAGACAAAAATTTTATGAATAAATCACCAAACCAGTTATTCCTGACACTGACGTACCTATGATATTTTATTCAATGCTCGCTGCAAAACTTCAATAATGCCAAACACACAATATACATATATATATATATATATGACAGGTATCATACCTCAGTTTCTGCATCAATAAATTTTACACCAGTGTATGAGATGGACAGAAGTATATTGGGGACCTTTTCTATCTGTTTCGTAGAAACTTTAAGTTTTTGTATTGATTTCCGTGTTGATTCTAAACCTTTCAGTTCCTTTATCAGTGTTGAACCTAAATACTTTTGGTTAAGAAACAAACAAAATTGTAATTTCAGCTAAGACTGTACAATGATATCAGAAAGAGCCAAGTAATTTTGGAGAAAATAAAAACATATTCATATCCGTAAAGATTTTATAACATACAAGTTCAGCTAAATTACTAACTTTTGCTTTTACTGACAAATTAATGTACAATTTTCATAAGTGAATGATCTTATAACTTTGTCAATTATAATGTACAAATGGAATTACTCATTTACAGAAATAAATGGATTTAGAAAATGTCAATAAATTCATAATTTTATTAAAGTTAGTGAACTTGTTAAATATTTATTACGATAACTTTGGATACTAAAATATGGTAAAGAAATAAATAACAAGGTAATAACACAATGTCAAATATAAGACAATTTTAGTAGTAGAAAATTTGTAATTACTTATTGAACATATTTTCTTTTAACTAGTTGTGATTATGGACAATAATACTTAATCTTTGAAAAAAAAAATTACATTCTGTTAAGTCTAACAACTTCAAACTTTGTGTTTAGCAGAGGTCTTAAAACAATACTGGAACAGTTTAAGGTACATCTCTAATCTGAGGCCGTGTTCTCCTATTTGATAACATTAACAGATTAGGTCGTCAAGAAATTAAGGTCACGTTTTGGAACACTTTCATTAACCACTCCCCAAAAAATGTACATCATGTATAATAGTTAAATGAAATTCTTAAACGTCACGTTAGTGTAGCCAAAATAAAGTGTAAAGTTTAGTATACTCTAATCCCTTATAGTGATACACATTCACCATGTAATGCTGTTTGAATACAAGAAGGGAAATAATGCCTCTGTAGCCACAAAGAATATCAAAGAAGTTTATGGAAATGTTTTGAACATTCGTTTGTTTGTTTGTTTTGAATTTTGCGCAAAGCTAC